TATATATATATATATATTAGAACTGTCAAACGATTGAAATATTTAATCTTATTAAAAACGCAACTGTCATAATTAACTCAAATTAACACAATTGTGATTACTCACACATTTTTTATCGTTTCTGAATTACCTGTTATATTTTTTTTCCTATTTCTTCCCGTTTTAATGCTCTCATCAACATGGAATCATGGATCAGTTTTCTATGTGCAAAATGCAAATAATTACTGAAACAACAATTTTGATTTTCAATTTTACATGAACATTTTTCACTTGGAGCATATATTCACACAATCCCTTAAACAATGTTACTGTCCATCAACAACAGTGAAAAAAATATTTTGTCACACAACAGCTCCTTTAACAGCTCTTTTTATGGAATCAAAACTGAGCAATATAAAATTATAAAGTGCACATCTAAGGTAAACTAGTACTCAGCCTATAGTGGATTTAAGCCAAGGTTGCATACTTCGTTTTTCTCAATAGTGCTATGAACACAGCAGTCAGGCTCTGTTGATTCTTTTGTTTTGTGTAGACATCATTTCAGATGACTACACTTGGTTCGAGGCACAACACTGGAGATGTTTTCTTATTTTCAGTGTGGTCACGACCACTTCACCGCTAAACTCTCGACGTGCCTCAGCGCACCGTCACTGTCAGATGAACAGAGAGAAGCTTCACCCCCTTTATTTATATGGACACGGAACACGGTAACCTTCCACACAAAATAGTTCCAAACAAATAATAATCGCGTCAGTGGCATACATCCTCCATTAGCTATGTACAGAAATAGTACGAAGCGGGAGAAGGCTAAGGTACACCAAGCGGGAGAAGACACTGTTTGCCCGGGAAACCACCAAGTCTTTGGGTTCCGGGGGGAGTATGGTTGCAAAGCTGAAACTTAAAGGAATTGACGGAAGGGCACCACCAGGAGTGGAGCCTGCGGCTTAACTTGACTCAACACGGGAAACCTCACCCGGTCCGGACACGGACAGGATTGACAGAGCGACAGCTCTTTCTCGATTCTGTGGGTGGTGGTGAATGGCCATTCTTAGTTGGTGGAGCGATTTGTCTGGTTAATTCCGATAACGAACGAGACTCCGGCATGCTAAATAGTTACGCCCCCGTCGCTCCTACCGATTGGATGGTTTAGTGGGGTCCTCGGATGGGCCCCGCCGGGGCCGGCAGCGGCGCCGGCGGCGCGCCGAGAAGACGATCAAACTTGACTATCTAGAGGAAGTAAAAGTCGTAACAAGGTTTCCGTAGGTGAACCTGCGGAAGGATCATTACCGGAGAGCTGCCAGCGGCCCGCGCGAAACCAGTCGAAGCCGAGGGCCCGGAGGGGGGACGGCGGCGACGTTGAAGGCGGCCGCGGGGAGTGGCGGGGGCGGGCGCGAAGGTGACGGGCGGAAGGGGGGGGGTTACACGGTGCCGGTCGTTGGCCGGCTCGATTAAGCCCGCATTAAGCTTTCCACTCACCCCAA